GTCTCCTCCACCCTATGAAAATGTAAAAATTTTCCCACCTTCCCACCTTTGGGCCTTACCTCTTGTGATGCTCCTCCTCGTACCTTTGGATCTGCCATTCTAAAGTGCCTGTGGATATCTGAGCAGCCTGAATGGGTCCCTGACCTCTTACCGTGCTCCTGATGCTTTCTAGGCCTGGAACTTCTACATCTTCCTAAGTCTTATTTGCTTGATTAAAATCTACCTATCTCTCAATATTCATTTCTTCTGGAAGCCTTTACTCCTTAATCTCCACTGTGTCCATTCACATACTGTACAGAGCTCCACCACAGCAGTGGGACACAAGTATGTTTACTCTTTTCTGTTAGTCTTCTGATGCTAGAATGCAATTTCCATAAGGATATGGACTATATCTTTTTATCTGGGTATGTCTAGTGCCAAGTATATTGCCCATCAAGTAGAGGACGTTGAATAAAACTCAATTGAGTAACTGAATGCATGGTTTCATGCATGCATGAATGAATGACTGAATGAATAATGATTCTGCTTGGGAATCATATCTTTATGAACTGTGAAAAAGTTATTAGCAGAGTGTGTTAGAAGAGTGAGCAAAAAACAAAAAACAAAAAACGTGGTAAAACAAGACAGAAAGCCATCAGTGTAATCTGGATCTTGGTTCTTGCTTTCTTCTTCTACTACAACACAACTGATCCTCACCAGTCTGCCAGAAAGACACCCACAGGAATCTGCTGTGGGTGATTCTACTAAGGGTTTGTGTAGTTGACGATCCATGGTTCACAGCTCCCCTTGGTCATTGGCCTTCTTGTCTGAAAAGTCATAACCCATCCACCTTCTGGAAAGCCCACACATTTACAATTAAAACAGAAAGTAGAAAGCTGTGAACTGAATTTGACCTCTAAGCATCTTTCCCCACCTGCTGTTCTCAGAGAGCCCAGGCCACTTGCTAGGAGGTATTTTCACACGTGGAGAGAACGCTGCTCCCCACCACAGATATTGCTCTGATGTCTTCTATGAGCCTCCCTAAGTCTTCCTGCGTCTCTGCCTCCCTTCAGACACCACGGCTGGATTCCCCTCCACTTCCACCGTAGGAATAGTAATACCTTCTTTAGTAAGGATTTACCATAGCTTCTATTGCTACTAAAGGAACTGATAATCTTTATGAAAGAGGAAAAAATCGAACTTTGTTAAACTCCAGTCCCCTAGAGATACACTATCTAAAACTTCAACTTACTCTTGTCTTCTCTGATTCTCTGGGGTATCATTATCTTCATATCTTCCATGAAGGTAATGACCACTAGCTTCCAAGCATTTAAACAGTCTGAATTCTCTTTCATGCTATTTGCTCCATGCAGAGCCCTAGTGGACTTCTAGAAATAATAAATTTCATTGTAAAAAATCTTCTGGGCAGAAGGGCCTGGCTCTGTCTAAATTATATTAGAGAGTGTCTGCATAGACAATATTTGGTCTAACCAGTTCTGTCCCAGAAGTTCTTCAACAATCAATATCACCTCCGTAGAACTCAGAAAGTATCTAGTTACTATCTTGGACAGGAAATTATTAGGGACAGCCCCGCTCAGCAAAGATATATCATGCTGCTCAAGGTAATTATAGTAATTATTAAAACTGCTACTACCACTGCTGCCATAACAATGATGATGACCATGACTATGACTACTTCTACTGCCATTTATGGAGCAATTACTATGATAAGTAATTCACATATATTATGATATTTAATTCTCTCATAGTAACCTGGGAACCCCAAGCTCAAAAGATGTTATCTAGGGATCTTAGAAGTTAACCTGTTTCATTTTTTAATTTCCCACTCTAACTGTCCTAGTAATCAAATTCATCAAGTAAGAGGTGTGATTTGTTTTATTCTGACATGTTTTTTGAAGGCTCCGTTTGTCTCTGTCTCAGTTCTGGCATGCCCCAACTAGGCGCTGTACTTTGTGTTCCATTCAGGACGTTGAACATGGTTCACAGAGATGACTGTTGCTCTGCGTATGGCAGAATAGGCTTCAGTTTGTTACCACGTGTGGAATCTCCATGTTAAGGGTTTACCTGGTTGATCAAGAGGCATTTATATGTATGTCTAATGCTGCTTCTTTCTGATACCTGTGACTCCCTCCTGTTGGTGGCAAAATATCCTTGCACAAAAAGTATTGTTATCTCTCACTTTGATCAAACCTCCAAACACATAATTTTATTTCTGCCACTATTGCCTTAATTTTTAAGTTACTTTCCCCTGCCCCAGCCTCCCCCGCCACCCAAGTGTCTATTAAGCCTCTTAATCTCTGGTCACAGTGCCTACTGTGCATTCAAGTTTAGCTGTGCTTTCAGGATATGCCCTATTCACATGTAAATTACTGTGATCTGTCAAATACAGAGTAGCACCCACATGAAACATGTTAACCATCTTAGAGGATATGTTCCCTCCTCTGTGGCCCACCCACCTCATTATTGCTGCTTTCCACCTGCACCTTTTATACCAACTGAATTTTACCTCATACCATTTGGTAATACCTTAAGAAATATTGATTCTTAACTGAAGAGGCCACATTTCCATAGAGGTATATAGAAATCAGTGAAGGGATACGGATATTTTGAAAAATCTCCTTGATGTCTATGAAAAACTTGTACCTACCACCAATCCACCACCATCCTTTCCATGATCCTCTCTGTACTCCTTTCCTTAATTCCCTCCCAACCACAAAATTTCTATAGCTTCCAGATTGGTCAGAATGGGAAGGAATTATAGGCCACCTAGTAACCCATTCAGTAGGCAAGACCTGATGATAAGATCAGTGACTAGCTTTGGTCCTGGGAAAGAGTAACTTGTACTTTCAAATACATGCAAACCATTTGCCTATGCAGAAAGTTAAAGTAGTATTGTTTTCAACACTTTAAGATGAGAGAGGCCATAAAACCTAGTTTTTTATGAGTCTTTAAAAAGTACATAAATAACATGTTTATTGTAAGAATACTAGAACACACAGATAAGCAAAATGAGGAAAGTAAAAATCAGCTTTAATTAGATTTTTTTTGATTTAATTACAGTAACTCTGTGGTGCTAATTGTCTCAGACACTTTTTATTGGAGAGCGGGGGATGATGTGCAGCAGATAAAGTGCACTCTATAGTCACTTTTTCCTTTTTTCTTTTTCTTTTCTTTCTTTTTTTTTTTTTTTTTTGAGATGGAGTCTCGCTCTGTCGCCCAGGCTGAAGTGCAGTGGCACGATCTTGGCTCACTGCAAGCTCTGCCTCCCGGGTTCACGCCATTCTCCTACCTCAGCTTCCCGAGTAGCTGGGACAACAGGTGCCCGCCACCACGTCTGGCTAATTTTTTGTATTTTTAGTAGAGACAGGATTTCACCTTGTTAGCCAGGATGATCTTGATCTCCTGACCTCGTGATCCACCCGCCTCCGCCTCCCAAAGTTCTGGGATTACAGGTGTGAGCCACCGCGCCTGGCCCACTTTTTTTTTTAATCATATATCCTAGACATCTTGCTATTAAATATTACTCCACAGAATTATTTTAACAGCTGTTTGGTTCTCCACAGCATTTTGGCATGTAACTTATTTTTAACATACATCTCTCCTTGTGAGATATTTTTAGTATTTTCTTTTAACATTATTATAAGCAAGGCTTTAATGACCATCACATATAAATATTAGCATTTCTCAAAGTAAAACCATGAAAATATAATAAAATGTTAAATATTCAATTGTTAACAATTCAATGTTAAGTATTCAGGTAAATGTTAAGTACCTGAACAGGTAACACTGAGTCTATGAATATTTTCAGTCAGTCCTTCATTTATAAGCACCTGTGATTCTGTGGTTTAGAGTTTCATCCTGCATAAGGTTCATTTATGAGACAACATCCACCAGGACTACATCTGATCAAAGTGAGTGTGATAATAGGTGTTGACGTAACGCATGCTTTGCTTTGTGTGAGATAACTATATTAGGATCAGCCTGGGGTACAAAAAGCAATGCAGTTTAGAAATAGGCAATATTTTGATTACAGATTAGAAAGATAGCAATGTTTTCAGCAATATAGTGCAAGTGTTTTGAAGTTTAGTAAAATCTCATTCTAGAAAGTCAGCGATTGACTAAGAAAAATTTTACTTAAGAAATATGAGCTATTGAAACAATGGTCTTATTATTTTAAGAACATTGAGAAGCAATATACCAAGATAATAGGGTACAACGTTTAAGAGCCAGACTGTGGAACTGGGCTGCCTGGGTTTGAATCCCAGATCTGTTACTACTAGAAATTGACTATGCTGATCTCGGTCATTTCACTTGCTGCTGTGGTCTGAATGTTTGTGTCCTGGCAAAATTCTTATGTTGATACTTAATCCTCAATGCAATAGTAATAAAAGGTACCCACCTTTTATTACATGACCCTTTAGGGGTCATGAGGGTGGAACTCTTACGAAAGGGATTAGTGTCCTTGTAAAAGAGGCTTGAGGGAGCTTTTTTGCCCCTTCCATCATGTGAAGACACATAGAAGTCACCATCTATGAGAAACAGGCCCTCATCAGACACTGAATCTACTGGTGCCTTGATCTTAAGCCTCCCAGCCTCTTGAACTATAAGTGATAAACTTATGTTGTTTATAAATTACTCAGTCTAAGGTATTCTTTAGAGCAGCCCCAATGGACTAAGACACTTACTTTTACTAGTGCCTCAATTTCCTCCATCATGTGAAAGGGGATAGTGCCAACTTCAGTAACTTGCTGAAGGTAATAAATAACTTTGTTAGCACGAGGCACTTAGAATTGTGTCTGACTCATTACAACCCATATGTAAATGCCAGATATTATCATGAGTGTCAAGATACAAAAGTTCTCTGGCATTGAGAGGATCAGCTATGATTGATTTAGCCCTTCCAGGACAAAGATAATGGTTAAACATTGTGGCACTATTCTACTTCCTTTTTTGCTAATTATACAAAACCTATTCTGAAAGGCACATTTCATCGCCTGCTCAGAGGCTCCAGTTGGCAGCCAAGAGTACATCTCCTTTCAAATAGCTGGATTAGGTCCTCATGCTGCTGTGGTCATTGCTGGTCATCTTTGGTGAGTTCAATAATTTGACTGAGAAGTGAGGTGGCAGCAGAATGAGGTCTACCGCTCCCGAAAGGTCGGAGGTTTTATCAGAGCCCCGGGACTGGTGGGGATGCTCAGGTTCTGCCTGCAGCTTGGGCTTCAGAGGCAGATGCAAAGAAGTAGGCTGAGGACAGTGAAATTGCAGCACATCCATTAAGCATTAAGCACAATGCTTAATGTTCAAGGTGGACCACTTTACCATTTGCTGGTCATGAATTGCTATTTTGGTATCTTAGATCTCATTGAGTAATATAATATTCTCATAGTAAAATGTTCATAATATTAGCATTTAGCACTGCCCTTCTCCTCCATGAACACCGATTATTCAATTGTTATCTATAAGATTTGGGTTCAGCAGATGCATTGAGACCCCTTGCTAATATTCCTCTGTTTAATCGTGGACGATGAGGGAGATGACAGCTGCTGCTAGAAAGTAAGATTCCTGGCTGGGTGTGGAGGCTCATACCTGTAATCCAAGCACCTTGGGAGGCCAAGGCGGGTGGATCACCTGAGGTGAGGAGTTCGAGACCACCCTGGCCATCATGGTGAAACCTCATCTCTACTAGAAATACAAAAATTAGCCGGGCGTGGTGATAGGCACCAGTAATTCCAGCTACTCGGGAAGCTGAGGCAGGAGAATTGCTTGAACCTGGGAGGTGGAGGTTGTGGTGAGCCAAGATTGTACCATTGTACTACAGCCTGGGTGAGAGAGTAAATAAGATCCCTTTCTCTATGCTGTGTAAGCACTAAATAAATATTTGTTATTGGAATAAAAGGGCCCTAACATGAAATATGGCCATAGGAAAGAGACTGATTTATTGATTTCTTGGAACTCTCACAGTGTATGTTTCCTGATGAGCCTTTTGTGATCATGTTGTCATGTCTATCTACTACTTGAAAAGTCTGAGTGTGAGACAGAGTGGTGGGGATGGTGGAAGGAAAATGAAATCAAGGAGAGTCACTAAATATCCAATGTGGGTATTCTCGACAATCCCTTTAGTCAAGCGTTGGGTTTGCAACTTGCCTTGTGACTACAATTAATGAGTTAGATATGTGCTCGAAGGAGATTGAATTATTAGTAATGAGAGATCAGGGAAATAGAAAAGAAAGGAAAAATGGAAAGAAGTTTTTGAGCAATTTACCACAGTAATGTAAATTTATAAATTATGAGGGCAAATGCTGTGTGCTAATCTCTGGCTTTTCATCTCCTCACAGCTGCAGTCACTGAACAGGCAGGTAAGTCCTCCTTGTCTTTGTTGTTCTTGGTCTCTGGCATATCAGTCACCCAGCTACCCCAGGATTCTATAGAGGTGGCTCTGGAAAGCCTGTGAAGATGTCCTAATATTACTGCCCTCTAGGCTGACATATTCTGAGGTCACGCAATCTGTTTCCAACACCGCTTGCACGTCTGGGTGACCAGGTACCACCTAGCCTTCTCAAGACCCTGCATGCTTGCCTCTTCTTTAAAAGCCTGGTTTTAAGAAGGGCAGTAACATCTGAAAGAAAGCATGCAGATTGAAGAAAAGAACAATTTGGAGAGAACTACTTTCCTGCCTATAGGACTGTAATACCTCATTATCGTCTGGCTGAATGCTGAATGTTTTCACAGTTCTTAAAACAGTTATTTATAGAGGAATATGTCAGAAATACAAACTTCTGCAGAGCCAGAATAAACATGTGTCCTCATTGCTTCTCTAGCTCTAGCTCAGGAGTCAGCAAGCTTTTCCTGTAAAAGGCAAGAGAGTAAATAGGCTAAGCTTTTCAGGTGTGTGCCATAACCACTCAATGCCATTGCTGTGGTAGCAGGAAAACAACCATAGACCATATGTAAATGAATGAGGATGTCAGTGTTCCAATAACATTTTATTTACCAAAACAGTGTTGGCCAGCTCACAGGCCACAATTTGCCAACCCCTGCTCTAGAATTAGTATTTAGTTTTGATTTTTAAAAAATACATGTATTACTGTTCTAATCATAAAGAGTGAAATAAAGCTAATTTTATTTCACTCTTTCTGAGTTAAATCTGTGCTCAGTGAAGAAAGTCAATGGGAAAAATATTCTATTCTATATACAGAATCTTCACATGAGCCAAGACAAAATCTAAAGAAAGGGAGAATTGTTCCCTTGCCCATTGAATGCTGGCTACCAAGTAGAAGGGGCTCTTTTTGCTCTAAGGAACAGTGTGGGGAAAAGTAGATCCCGGTCTCACCTTGAATGGAACAAGAGTGTCCAGGGAGACATTCAGGGGTCCTACCTGGAGCTTGCTCAGGAGAAAGTTTGGTCTCTTGCATTCATTCAGTCCCACATACGGTCCCGGAGTCCCACCCTGTGATACTCATCACTCCACTATCTGTCTGGATGGAAATTAGAGGAAACCTTTATTAATACTCAGGAGGTTTCTGACCATTAGTGGAATCGTGCCAAGGCAGCAGGCTCCCTGAAGTGAATCACCTACAACCGTTCAGAGAACAGGGAAACAGCCACTTCATTCTCTTTCCTTTCCTTTAGCAAGAGTTTCTCAGAAAACTGAGATGTTCTTCAGAAGTTTGAGATCTTTTCTTTTCAAAGAGAGTAAGAGAGAACTTAGTTCAGCATGATGTACTGGAAAGAGCAGGACTTATATAGCCAGAAAGAACAAACTGAAATCATGGCTTTGCTACATACCTGCTATGCAGGCTGGGGCAGTCACTTGGCCTCTGAACCCCAGTCTTGTCTCCAGAGAAAAGTTTCTGGTCTGTTGAGAAATACACTCCCTTCCAAGGTTTGAACCTGCTTTTCAGCAGAGCAGCTGAAAAGGTCTTTCTGTCCCCATCCATTGCCTCAACGCAGTCTTCTATCCCATTTCCTCTTTTCAGCCCCACCTATACACTGCACTTACCACCTGCGACCTTGCCCTCACATGCAAAGCTCTGAGAAATACCATTTGATTTTTGTTGCTGTTGCTCTGGTAAAGATATTTTTCACTGAAATACTTGTGAAAAAACTCTTCAGTCCTGTACATCTTGCTCTGAGTTAAATCTTTGTGCTCCTATTTACTTGCTCTACAGAGAACTACTCTGTTCTCCCAGCCCCCTACCGTTGTCCCTCCACTGCAGTTCTCCTCTGTACTCTCTGGGGGTCAGCATGATTCTATTGGGCACCTCTGCAGGTAGAGCCACTCTCAGCCAGTTGCTGGAGGATTTGGAACTCCCTGAGGATGAACAAGTCAGCTTTGAGACTTGTTGCCCTCCCTTTCTAGGGCCTCTGACTCCTTGCACTCTGCTAATGGTGCACACAGATTAGAACTCTTGAGGTTGCACCACAATGACAGCCAGTGTAGAGCCAGCACTCTTCTGTTGAGGCCTCCAAACTGCCAGGTGGTTGGCATCGGAGCAGTCACAGTCATGCTAGAAGCAAGTGGATACAAACTCTCACACAAACCCTATTCTGACTCTTTGGGGTTCCCTGCTATGAAACTATGGACCAACTTATGTCTACCCCATAGGTAGGACATCACTCTCAGGGGGTTTGACTTCAAGTCACCTTTATTTATTCAGTATCCCCGAGTCCACCCCATCTCACAGACCTGAAACCCATTATTTTAGTTGCTCTTGAAGTGCAGTTATGATGTCCTCTTATTCCTCCTCAGCCATCATTAGCTTCTGCAACAAAGACATCCCCCGCTACGGTTGTGAAGATTTGTGGCTCACTGAGTGGTCCATAAATGCCAGCACCATTGTGTGCTTCTCTCACAGAATCCTTAAGGCAGCCTGATGAGAGGCAAATGCTCTTTGTTGTTCCATCTCTTAGATGAGAAACTGTAACTGAACACAGGTCCAGCTGCTCACTGCTTGCAAAGTCCAATGAATAAGAGAGAGATCTGGTAGAAAGAAAGTGACTTTTTAATTCCAAAACTTAGCTGAGGGGAAGCAGTACAGGCTTCTGCCTTGAGGGTACCACTTCTACTTCTGGGGCAGAAGGCAAGGGCTTTTAAAGGGAGACTTGGTGTGAACAGCATGCAGGGGAGGGAGTGAGGTGGTGCCAGTCTACGTGACTTGCTTTGGATGTCATCTGTCAAGTGATTTGGCTGGCACCAGTGTGGGCACAACTAGGTTGTAAGTTGAGGCAAGCTACTGGTGGGAGAGAGTTCTAGAGGCACCTGGTTCGAGTTTCTGTCTCTGGAACCTCTTAAGTAAACACATAGCTAGATACGCGTTCAGTGCAAGGAGTGGATGATGGAGAGAAGGTAAAAATTATAATTGCATGAAAAAGGTAAAAATACTTCTTTTTCTTTTCTTAGAAAAACAGGATACTTGGTTACAAAACCAAGGTCCAAAGAATAAAGTGCTTTGTCCAGTATCACACAGCCAATAATAGTAGACTTGGATTCAAAACAGTGTGATCTGGCTCTTCACCATTAGGTTAAACGTTGTGAGAACTGAAATCAAGCAGTATCTCCTGGTGGTGATGATGACTCTTTCTGGCTGCATCTTCACTTCCAGGCCTCCGAGCTTTAGCATCTCTCCCCAGCGGATTCCTCTCAGAGCTGCAAGTCGGCTCACCCTGCTGCTCCCACTTGCTGGTCTGCCATTATGGACTCAGGATCATCCGTTCCTCACTGCTCTGCATCCTCTGGCTTGCTCTTGGGGCAGTCTGCCTCTTACTAAGCAGTTTGAGGATATGAATAATTCCTAACGACCAACTCAAAGTCTCACTTTGTCAGCGGCAGCCAGAGCCAGTGAGGCTGCCTGTCATGCCCTTTTCAACAGTGTCACTAATCATAACTCCCCTTCCTATCCCCAGAGGTGTTCTCCACAGGAATATTTCCTCTTTGTGGAGGAAGACTGTACCAGTGGTTTAAAAGTTGGCTTGATTCCAAGTCCCACGGTGGAGTTTCCATGAAATCTAGTATCCATTTGCAAAGGAGGGCACAAGTCTTGAATTAAGTTAATTGTTTCTCCAACCCACCTTTTCTGCCCTTCTAATTATACACACACACACACACACACACACACACACACACACACACACACACACACACAATCAGATGATTGTTCCCCAATGTCTAACAGGTAATTCTGATTCTGTTGAAATAGCCAGTAGCAAACCATACATTTTGCCAAAAATACTTCCAAATGCCACAGATTTCCTGTGGTTTTTTAGCTGTAGCTCTGCAGTAGTATTTTATGAATCATCACATCTCTTATGTTATTGACTTCTGCTTCCTTCTACTACACATCTGACAGTCATGATACAATCGAATAGTGATAAGGAAGATTTTTATTTGAGATATAACTTAATTCCTTACTTTGTGGCCAGAATCCTCTACTACAATCATAAAATATCATGAAGATGTCATAGACACAAAACATAGTCTGGTACCATAAATAAATGAAGTGACAGGTTCAAAATTAGAGAACCTGTGATCAATCTGAGGAAAGCAACCTCTGGAGAGGACATTTGTCTTTGGCAATAGCTTTTTTCTTTATATGATCCTTCTCTAGGAACTGAGCCTTGGATTAAAAATAATCTCTACTTCTCTGAATGGATGAGAAAAATTTTCTGAAGGCATTTGTGTAGAGAATTCGAGTAGATAATTAAAGATACTGGATCTTATTCCAGTAACTGGCTTATTCCCAATAATCCACACTACTTGATGGTTTTTATTTGGTGAGGCAAGGAGAGGCATGGGACCTGAATTTATAACACAGTGTAGAGTTCTGAGGGCTGGATGAAGGTATGGGGCATGAGAAAATGAAGTGCCCACTGAGGGCAATGGTTTCCCTGTGTGGTGTCACTGATGGAGAAGGCTGAAGATGAGGAGTTTGTCAGAACACTCCTTCATGAACATTAAAAAACCATGTTTACCTTGACACCCCTGCAATAGACTGAATGTTTGTATCTCCCTAAAATTCATATGTTGAAACCCTAATCCCAATGTGATGGTATTTGTAGGTGGTACCTTTGGGAGGTAATAAGATCATGAGGGTGGAACGCTCGTGAATAGGACTAACACTTTTATAAGAAGAGGCCAGAGAGTTAGCTGATTCTTTTTCCACTATGTGAGTGTAGAGAAAAGTTGGCAGTATGCAGCCTAGAAGATGGCCATCACCACAACCTGACAATGCTGGCACCCTGACCTCAGACTTTCAGCCTCCAGAACTGTGAGAAATAAATCTCTGTTACTGATAAGCCACTCAGTTTGTGGAATTTTGTGATAGCAGTACAAGCTAAGATATCCCCTCAGGAAACATGGGATGAAACTCTCAGTTATTAAGGCATGGATTGAAACCTCCACCTTATCTAAAGAAGTAGAAGCTATGCCCGAGACCACCTCACTGCCAATGGAGTCTGTCTGGGTTCTCTGCAGGAATTGCAAATCCAGTTTCCCTCCTTCTCTTGCAGATTTGCTGACCCTTGTGGCGCCCTCTTCTGTCTTCGAAGGAGACAGCATAGTTCTGAAATGCCAGGGAGTAGAGAACTGGAAAATTCAGAAGATGACTTACCACAAGGATAACAAAGAGTTATCTGTTTTCAAAAAAGTCTCAGATTTCCTTATCCAAAGTGCAGTTTTAAGTGACAGTGGTAACTATTTCTGTAGTACCAAAGGAAACATCTTTTTGTGGGATAAACGTTCAAATATAGTAAAGATAAAAGTCCAAGGTAAAACCCTCACTTCTGTGGGATGGGCTGGGTAAGAGACCATGGCAGCAAGCAGGGTGGGTACTTGGTAGGGGAAAGTTGCTCATGGGCCAGATATAGACGGGAGTGCTTGTGGTTCGACCATCATGGGAGTCATGATGGGTGAGAGGTGTCTGGCTCTGAATGTCCAGTTTGCTGAGGTTGCTTCTTACCAGGGGCTTTTCAGCAGGAATCTTAGCTCTCACTGCTTTGGGGACTATTGTGATCCGTCTCTCTAGAGCTCTTTCAACACCCTGTGCTGACAGCCAGCTCCTTCCAGCCCATCGAAGGGGGTCCAGTGAGCCTGAAATGTGAGACCCAGCTCTCTCCACAGAGGCTGGATGTTCAACTCCAGTTCTGCTTCTTCAGAGAAAATCAGGTCCTGGGGTCAAGATGGAGCAGCTCCCCGGAGCTCCAGATTCCTGCCATGTGGAGTGAAGACACAGGGTCTTACTGGTGTGAGGCAGAAACGGTGACTCACAGGATCAGAAAACAGAGCCTGCAATCCCAGATTCACGTGCAAAGCAAGTATCAGTGAAGCTGAGCCTGGAGAAAAAAGATAGGAGTGTTGTAGCTTCAGCTTGAACTACTAGTCTTTTTGTTTCTTTGTTCAACTCCTGTCCTTTAGGAAAGTGAAAATTAAGCTAGAAAACCCCTCCAGATTGCTCCTGGCTTCCTACTGCATAAGAATCAGAAACGGACTAAGCCGTTTATAATCTTTCTTTTTTGTTGTTAGTTAAGTAATATTCATTGATCAAGCCTTCATTGATCACTGACTGTATGCCTTGGCATTTAGTAGTGGGTGGGGCACTTCAAAAGGCAAACCACCTGCTGTCTAATGGCTCTCCAAATGTCTCCACATGATGAGATTGCAACACAAATTGACTTACTAGAAGACAATGTGGTGCTACATATATATATATGTATACACATATATGTATACATATATATGTATATATAAAGGGTGGTTTGCCTTTTGAAGTGCCCCACCCACTACTAAATGCCCAGGCATACAGTCAGTGACCAATGAAGGTTTGATCAGTGAATATTACTTAACAACAAAAAAGGAAGATTACATATATATATACACACATTTATATATATATAAACATATAGTACTACCTGAAGCATCAGGAAAAGCAGATGTGAATCAGCAGAGTGGTCAGAGGAGAAGTTGTATTTGGTTGAACCTTGAAATTAAGAATGATAGAGGAATTATTATTGGGACTGTTGGTTAGGAATAATGACTTTTCCAAGGCAGGACTGAAGATATCAGTGCCCCTCTATATTCTGCGCAACAGGTGTCTGTGACTCATCCAAAAAATTGAACAGTTTCCTGTCCCATGGAGTGGCTGATCCATCACAAATTCTTTAAATATTACTACCCATGAAACTGGCCAGGGTTAGGACATACAAATATCTTTATCCACATTCCTCAAGGATAATTGTTATAGATTCCCTACCTCCATGTGAATGCTTATGATGGATTATCTATACAATATCCACATTCCCACTCCTTGCATTAGAGAATGGAATCAGTCAAACTCTGTCGCCAGAGTTTCCCTTAGAGTTCTCACCTGTTATCTTATATCCATCTAGGAATCCCCATCTCTAACGTAAGCTTGGAGACCCGGGCCCCCGGGGGACAGGTGACTGAAGGACAAAAACTGATCTTGCTCTGCTCAGTGACTGCGGGTACAGGAAATGTCACATTCTCCTGGTACAGAGAGGCCACAGGAACCAGTCTGGGAATGAAAACCCAGCATTCCTTGTCAGCAGAGCTGGAGATCCCAGCTGTGAAGGAGAGTGATGCCGGCAAATATTACTGTAGAGCTGACAACGGCCATGAGTCTATCCAGAGCAAAGTGGTGAATATCCCTGTGAGAAGTGAGTGATACTCTCATTCATATTTTCCAGAAATTCCCAAACCAAGGTCATGGTACACAGAAGTTCTGAGGAAATTTCAGGAGGCCCCAGGGATTAGTGTTGTGGAGAACCAAAAGCAATTTGAAAATGGGTTACCCTTGCAGGTTAGACTGCTGACCTGTTTCTTTTTGTAGAAGGAAATATAAAGAGGGCTGTAATTGATTATGAAGCAAAAGCATTCTTGCACTCCTAAAATAGGATAATAAAACACCTATTACATGAAACCTTTGGGCTCTGGGCCAGGAAGTATCATGGATCTAAAAGGTTCACAGTGGTAACAACCGGCTTCATTTTATGTCATCTCCTTCAGAGTGATTAGAGTGTTTCTAGCTTGCCGAAACTGCACCCAAAGGGAGACATTTGGAGCCATGTTATTGGTGATTTACTGGTGTGGAAAATTACCTGGTGGTGTAACCAAGTAGCCGTTTTCGTTCTAACCCAGTCCTACAGTCCTGAACTGGGCTGAACAAACATACCTAAATATATGCTTAGAAATGCTCTTATGTATCAATTTTCCCAGGAACAACTATAATATTATAGAAATCTCACAATTATTTCCTAATAAAAAATTATAGAATAAAAAAAAAAAAAAAAAGAAATATGAAGGGAGCTGGATGGGCACAGGAAAACAATCAGATGAGAACAGCAGATGACCGTGTCTGTAGGCAGCACCCAGAACTAATATTCCCCTCAAACATCTAAATATATTGTTGAGAAAATTACCTCTAACTGTTTTAGTGGAAATGTGAGAATGGAAAGTATGCAACAGCCACAGGGCCAGGCCCTTTGCTGAGCCTGCAGGATGGCAGTTTGTGAATCTATTGCAGCATCACAAATCTTTTCTGATAGCCCCTCTGTGTCTGTCAGTTCCAGTGTCTCGCCCCGTCCTCACCCTCAGGTCTCCTGGGGCCCAGACTGCAGTGGGGGACCTGCTGGAGCTTCACTGTGAGGCCCTGAGAGGCTCTCCCCCAATCCTGTACCGATTTTATCGTGAGGATGTCACCCTGGGGAACAGCTCGGCCCCCTCTGGAGGAGGGGCCTCCTTCAACCTCTCTCTGACTGCAGAACATTCTGGAAACTACTCCTGTGAGGCTGACAATGGCCTGGGGGCCCAGCACAGTGAGGCAGTGCCAGTCTCCATCTCAGGTGGGTAGGTGTTACCTGGATACAGAGTTTGGTGACAATGGCTGTGTCTCACCAGCCTGGAGATGTCTGCTGTGTGTGAAGAGGGAGAACGTGATCTCAGCGTCCAGTTGCTTCTCTTCTCCCCACACCAACCTGAAGAGTACAGACTCCACTTCAATGATCTCTTACATGAATTTGTATTTACCATCCCTATATAGCATTTATATGAAGGGCCCAAGTCTTTAACCTCTGGGGCTGAAGCACTGCTTTCTTTCCTTAGGACCTGATGGCCATAGAAGAGACCTCATGACAGCTGGAGTTCTCTGGGGACTGTTTGGTGTCCTTGTTTTCATTGGTGTTGCTTTGCTGTTGTATTCCTTGTTCCACAAGATATCAGGTTGTATCTACTATTTGGATTTTCCATATTTTGCTCTGACCTTTCCACTACTGATACAGATTGAAATTACAAAAAAAAAAAAAAAAAAGAAAGAAAGAAAGAAAAGAAAACGCTCCAAAATCCAATAATTTCTTTTTATGCTTCACAATTCTGCAAGACTCTGTGCAATGCTCAATGTGGTCATACTGCTAATTATACAATATGTCGTTGTTCCCCGTGCATAGTCACTTGAGATTAAATTATTTACACATTCCCTCCATGCTTGACTTTTAAATTAAAAAGTCTAATTTTTAATTGCCATTTAGCAACTTTCAACTGGTATAATTAGCTTATGTACAACAGAGCAAAATGGAGTAAGGAGCCAGATTTAAAGGAACGCAAACAATTTAATGTGCTCTTTTTTCTTTTTATTTATCCATTTCTTATTAGCCACCTTCTTTATGAAAAGAGCAATGACTCCTTGAATTCTTGGATCCATGATATAGACCATAAGAAGCCATCTTTACCCATATGTCTGGCCGCTGATGCCGGCTATAGTTTGCAATTTCAGCTAAGAGTCAACTAGAGCACATATATGCAGCCTCTCAACATGGCCTGGATTTCCTCACAGCATGATGACCTTAAAGTAGTCAAATTTTTAACATGTTGGTTCAGGCTCCAAAAAGCAAGTGTGATAATGAAGCTGCAATACATTTAATCAATGAATTCCAAAAAGTATGATGTTGTGTCACTTCTACGGCAATTTTATTATGTCCTGGTGCTTCAAACTTGCCCAGGTATCAGTGGAGAGGGCACAGACTTCATCTCTAAATGGGAGAACTGTCAAAGAATTTTAAACCATATTTTTAAAATTTCCACATATAACACCATGAGTTCGAAACTGCTATGTCTCCAAACCCCAAAACACTGTCAAAAGCACAAGACTCTTGGTGTTCTCTCTGCAATCAGTAAATGCTCCATGGAACAAATGATTTCAGAAGTTAGGTTTTTCTCCCTGCGCCCCTCTCCATCTTTTGTTGAAGATTTTTGTGTCTATGTTCATCAGGGATATTGGCCTGTAGTTTTCTTTTTTGATTGTATTCATGTCTGATTTTGGTATCAGGGTAATTCTATCCTTGTAGAATGGGTTAGAGAGAATTCCCCTCTCCAATTTTTTTTGGAATGGTTTGAGGAGGATTTGTATTAATTCTTTATACATTTGGTAGAATTTGGCAGTAAATCCATCCAGTCCTCGACTTTTCTTTGTTAGGAAGCTGATTATTAATGGTTCAATCTTGCCACTCATTATTGGTTTACTCAGGTTTTCTATTTCTGTCTGATTCAATCTTGGTAAATTGTCTGTTTCCAGGAATTTATCCATCTCTTGTAGGTTTTCCTGTTTATTTGCAATAATCTCTGATGATTTTTTTTTATTTGGTGTCAGTTGTAATGTCTGCTTTTTCATTTCTGATTATGTTTATTGGGGTCTTCTTTTCTTGGTTAGTCTAGCTAGCAGTTTATCAATTTTGTTTTTCTTTTCAAAGGACCAACTTTTGTTTTATTGATCCTTTGTATTTTTTTTTTTTAGTTTCTATTTAATTTAGTTCTGCTCTGTTATCATTTCTTTCCTTTTGCTAATTTTTAATTTAGTTTGTTCTTGGTTTTCTAGTTCCTTGAGGTACTTCATTAGATTGCTAATTTGAATTCTTTCTACTTTTTTGACGTAGTTGTTTATTGCTGTAAACTTTCCTCTTAGCACTACTTTTGCTGTATCCCACAGGTTTTAGTATGTTACATTTTCATATTAATTTGTTTCAGATATTTTTGATTTCCATCTTAATGTCTTCATTGACCCAATGGTTGTTTAGGAGCATGTTGTTTAATTTCCACTTATTTGTACAGTTTTCAAAATTTATCTTGGTATTGATTTCTAGTTTCATATCCTTGTGGTCTCAGAAGATACTTGATATGATTTTGATTTTAATAATTTGTTGGGACTTGTTTTGTGGCCTAACATATGGTCTATTATGGAGACTGTTCCATGTATAAGTGAGAAAAATGTATATTCTGTAAATGTAAACAAAATGTTCTATAAATGCCTGTTAAGGCTATTTGGTCTAAAGTGCAGTTTAATTTCAATGTTTCTTTGTTGATTTACTATTCGAATGATCTGTCTAATGCAAAGAGTGAAGTGTTGAATTACCCCGCTATTATTGTATCAAAGTCTATCTCTCTTTTTTAAGTAATATTTACTTTATGAATCTGGGTGCTCAGGTGTTAAGTACATATATATCATCTATAACCTCTTGCTGTATTGATCCCTTTATTTTTGTCTTTTTTTTTTTAACTGTTGTTTATTTATTTATTAATTATTTTGAGGTGGAGTCTTGCTCTGTCACAAGGCTAGAGTGCAGAGTGTGGCGCAATCTTGGCTCACTGCAACCTCTGCCTCTTGGGTTCAAGTGATTCTGCTGCCTCAGCCTCCCAAGTAGCTAGGATTACAGGCTCCTGCCACCACGCCTGGCTAATTTTTTTGTATTTTTGGTAAAGACGCGGTTTCACCATGTTGGCCAGGCTAGTCTGGAACTCCTGACCTCAAATGATCCTCCCGCCCTGGCCTCCTAAAGTGCTGGGATTACAGGCGTGAGCCACCGCACCCCGCCTGTATATTTTAAGTAAAGAATTTAATCAATTTACATTCAAGGTTATTATTGATATGTAAAGTTTTCTTCCTGTCATATTAATTGTTGTCTGGTTGTTTTGTGTATTCCTTGTTGTTTTTTCTCTTAGTGTGTATTTTCTACATCTAACAATTGAAGTGGTTTGCAATGCTTATTCAGTCAGTACCTGACTACCAAGCCTAACTTTGTTGCACCTCCTGGCTATACCTATGCATTTTCATGATGGTAAGTATTGTCCTTTCGCTTTTAGGTTTAGGACTCCCTTAAGCATTTCTTGCAAGGCTGGGCTAGTGGTGATGAATTTCATCAACTTTTGCTTGTCTGGGAAAGGTTTTATTTCTCCTTATTTATGAAGAGTATTTTGCTGGATTTGGTTTCCTTCACTGGCACTTTATTCATTTTAGCACTTTGAATATTTCATCTCATTCTCTCTTGGCCTGGAAGGTTGGAGTGTGTTTCTGTTTTGTTTTGTTTTGTTTTTCTTTATAGGTGACTAGAGGCTTTTCCCTTGCCATTTAAAAAATTCTGTCCTTGTATTTGACTTCAGACTGTTTTATTATAATGTGCCATGGAAAAACCTTTTTGCATTGTATCTGCTTGGGGATCTAAGAGGTTTTGTATCTGGATGTCTAAATCTCTTGCTAGACTTTGGAAGTTTTCTTCTATTATTTTGTTTAATAGGTTTTCTAACCTTTTCACTCTGTCTTTGCCATCTGGTACCCCAATAATTTGAATAAAAATGTTAAAAAAAATGTGCCAATTCTTGGTCCTCCAAGTGACTTAGTCACATACCCGAAGTGGCAATGCTGGGCCAGGAAGGTGAAAGGATTCTCAGGCCCCTGGGCAGCCAGCATGGTTTGGGCAATGGCAGTGGCAGGTCCACCCTCTGAGTCCCAAACAGTGCATACTGGTGTTGGTAGTGGCTGTGATAGGCTGGGCAGGTCAGACTCCAGACCTGCAGATGGTGCATGCGGGTAGGTATCAGTTGTGGTGATAGTGGCAGAATTGGTAAGCCCAACCTCAGGTCCCCTGGAAGAGTGTTAGGTGCCATCGTGGTGCACTGGGCTGGGCAATTCCCTGGCCCCCATTCTGTGTGCTCTGGCATGGTCAGAGGAAGGGCAAAATCATGCTGGGTGGGCTTGTCCTCACGCTTTCTGATCCTCTCTGCTCTCTTGTCTACGCAAGTCTTCACTATCTTATTACCACTTCAATGCTTGTAAACAGACTTTAAAACTCTTTTGCCCAGTTTTTCTAGTTGTCCTTAGTAGATTTGGTTCAAATGCATTCAGTAACCACTACTGGAAGTTTGAAGGCATCTACCTTTTACAACCAACATATTCCTTAAGCTGCCGTGTTTTTCACATTTTCAGCATGACTATTTGTTTTTGTAACATATTATTTTTAATGTCAAGAATTTAGATAAATCAGAGTGATTTGTCATACTGAGAGCCCTATTACTATTTCGCAATTCAAAAAAAATTACCAATGACCCAATTATTGTGTCAACCACATATGGCAGGTTTACATATATTATCTGTAATTATCAAGTTATTTTTAAGTGTATCCTTTTGGGGAGACAAGGTCTTGCTCTGTTGCCAAGGCTGGAGTGCAGTGGCACGATCTTGGTTCACGCAGTCTCGATCTCCCAGGCTCAAACCACCCTCCACATCAGTCTCCTGAGTAGCTGAAACTACAGGCCCATGTCACCATGCCCACCTAATTTTTTTGTAAAGATGGGGTTTTACCATGTTGCCCAGGCTGGTCTCGAATTCCTGAGCTCATGCTATCTGCCTGGCTCAGCCTCCCAAAGTGATGGGATTATAGGTGTGAGCCACCACTCCCAACCTAAGTATCTTATTTTCTATGTCTAACAATCTTGGGGAATTTAAGTAGGTTTTTTTCTGTGGTCACTCAGCCAGTAGAGGTCAGACCAGAACCTATATCTACTAAGCCTGAAACCTAACTTTGTTGCACCTCCTGGCTTTACCTATTCTCTTCGCATAAGTTTCACCTATGTCAGTAAGGTGTTATTTATTTTAACCTATCAGATACAGGACAAACATGGGGCACATCAGAATCTCAATGATAGCTTTGAAGCTCTTGTAAAATGCTTTCTTATGCTTATCTACTACAACAGGTGAAATAAACTTTGGACACTCATTAATTTTCTTCCACATAGTAAACATTTAAGCCAGTATTTTATTTTATTTTTTACTTCCAACATTTATTTTAGGTTCAAGAGGTACATGTGCAGGTTTGTTACATGGGTAAATTAGTTGTGTTGCAGGTTTGGTATACAGATAATTTTGTCACCCAGGTAATCAGCATGATACCAAATAG